CGCGGCGTACCGAACCACAAACGGCCACAGAAAATGGGGGGCAGCCGCATGCACCATGGACGTACGGGCGACGTCCATGACAATGCCGATGCGGCGCTCAGCAATCCCATTCTGCTGTGGAGAGTCCGGAAGCGTGAAGGTCTGGCGGATGCCTCGTGCCCGACAGTAGGCTCGCAGAAGGCCGGAGGAGAACTCTCCGCCTTTGTCCGAATGCAGACGCAGAACAGGAAAGTCCGAGCCGAAGCTCCGCCTGAGCTGGAGACGAGCTGCGCGGATCCAGTCGATCAACACCTCAGTGACCTCACCCTTGCTGCGCAAGGGGAAGACTGTGGTGTAACGCGAGTAGTCGTCAACCACCAGCAGGAAGTAGCGCTCGTGACCCTGTCCACGGACGCGGGCTGGGCCCCACACGTCCATGTGAAGCGTCTGCATCGGGGCCTCCGTCGGAGGGAACGGGGAGGAGTGAGGGGTAGCCCGCAGGCGACCCTCGACACAGGGGACACAGGGAGGGCCAGGCCCCGGAGGAAGGGGAGGGAGGGACCGGGGAAGGCCAGAGACAAGAAGGCGAGAGGCCATGCCCCGGAGACGAGGCAGGGAGGGGTGACCCATCCTGTGGTGCCACAGGAGGGTCTCGTGGGACATGAGGCGACACGAGCAGGGGGCAGACTCAGGACCAGACTTGGACGCTGCAGCAAACACCTGACCCGACGCAGCTACCTGACCAGACGCAGGAGGAGGAGACGGAACAGTGAGTGTGTACAGGCTCGACCCTGGACCACGTGTGAATGTGGTCAGGTGTCGACCCGTGTCCGCGTCCGTGCAGTGGGTGACTCGTCGGCGCGCAGGGGTGAACTGGTCAACCCCTGCATCCTGTAGGTCAGCACCCGCCACCAAGTTCGTAGAGAACGAGGGGAGGTAGAGACCGGATAGGGCGCCAGACGGGACCGCAGGGCACGGCAGGACAGTGGAGTAGCGAGCCAGAACAGGACCCCCGGAGGGGTCTGCCAAGGAGACCGCCACTGGCCGACTGAGCGGCGTGAGTGTGGTGCGGTCTCGAAAGAAGGAGCGAGACGCCCCGGAGTCAAGAGTGAAAGTGAGAGAGGGTGAAGTCGACACAGTACCTGAGAGAGCAGACTCACCAGCACCTGAGGACTCAGACTCACTTGTACCTAGAGCAACAGCCTCACCAGCACCTGGAGCAGCACCCTCAACAGCACCTAGAGCCGCAGTACCAATGCCCGGGTCGGGCGGGAAACACCGGTAACAGTCACTCTCCTCACTAATAGTCACAGCATACATAGCAGCAAGAATAGCATCAAAGTCAAGATCAAAGATAGCTACTCCAGCCCTAGACAGCTGGTCCCAGCGAGGGATCTCATAGGCGTCAGGAAACTGGCGGCGCCAAGCGTCAGTCAGGCGGCCGAAGCAACGCTGGGCGGAGTGTGGACCACCACACTGCTCACCCGCACGGTCGCCAGTGCGCAGGACGTAAGTGCACGGACCAGTACCCCCACCCCGCTGACGCGCAGAGTACCACTCACGGAGCTGCTGCGAGGAGAGGGTCTCCTGACCACGCTGCTGCTGCTGGCGCTGACCACCACCGGAGCCACTCCTCCTCGGCGCGCCACGACCTCCGCCGCCTCCTCCGCCGCCTCCTCTGCCGCCGCCGCCACCACCTCCACCGCCACCGCCACTCCCACCGTCGCCGCCGCCACCGCCGCCTCCGCCTCCACCCCCACTACCACCGCCGCTGCCGCCCCCGCCTCCACTGCCTCCGCCGACACCTCCACTCCCGCCACTACTCCCGCTACCACCCTCACCTCCGCCGCTGCGTCTACCTCCGCCTCCACCGCCCCCGCCGCCTCCACCACCGCCCCTGCCCCCCTTGCTCTTGCCAGAGCGACGTCTCCTGCTGGGGGCAGACGCCGCTCCGACCGACTCAAAACCAACCAGGTTGGCCGTAGCAGCAGAGGCGACAGAGGGCAGGAGGGGGGAGGGGGAACACCCCTCAAAGATGGGGGTGCGCGGGTCACCACGAGAGGCCCCTACAGCGAGAATGCTCTTCTCGGCTGCGAGGAGGGACTTCTCGAGGATCTCGACAGTGAGAGTGGTGGGGCAGACTGCGAGTAGGTCGTCCCTGACTCCGCGAAGGGAGTCAGGGAGGCGGGTGACAATGTAGTAGAGAGTGAAGTACTGGGGGGGGGGGGTTCTTGGCGCAGAACTCAGCAGGAAGTGCAGCGCGGAAGCGAGCGTCACTAGTGCGCAGGTGGGTAATGAGGTCGGCGACTGTGGCAAAAGCAGCAAGGTCGGGAAAGAGGTACGGTAGCATGAGGCGGCTCAGTGCAGCAGTGGCAGGGGTGGAGTAGCGTGCGATTACGGCGTCGTACAAGGTCTTAGCACTCTTGTACGACCCAAAGTGCGCACGCTCAGCGGGAGGGAGGTGGCGACGCACAGCAAGACGTGCAGCAGCATCGCGTGTGGCCCACACTGAGCGAACAGTGGCATCCTCAGTAGCAGTAGGGGCGGGAGAGGCACCAGAAGTGAGATCAAAGAGAGAGAGTCCGTCTGCTCTGTCGCACTGTAGGAAAAGCAGTAGGTCGTCTACCCACACGTCAAAGTCAATGGCTCTGCCCTCAGCGTCAAAGGCGAGGACACTGGGGGTAGCCATGACAGCAGTAGAGAGAGGGCAGTGCGCAGAGTAAAGCTCAGTGCTCACCAGACAGGGCAGTGCAGGGAGGGCTCGGGCGGCTCGGGCGGCTCGACTGCTGGGCGGCTCGGGCGACTCGGCGGCTCGGGCGGCTCGGGCGGCACTGCAGCTGGGGCGGCTCGGCTGCTGGGGCGGCTCGGCTGCTGGGGCGGCTCGGCTGCTGGGGCGGTTCGGCTGCTGGGGCGGCTCGGCGGCTGGGGCGGCTCGGCTGCTGGGGCGGCTCTGCTGCTAGGGCGGCTCGGCCGGGAGATGCAGGGGCGGGGCCGTCAGGTGCAGCGGCGGGCCGGCAGGTGCAGCGGCGGGTCGACCGGTGCAGCGGCGAGTCGGCAGGTGCAGCGGCGGGGCCGTAGGGTGCAGCGGCGGGCAGGTAGGTGCAGCGGCAGGGCCGTCAGGTGAAGCGGCGGGCCGCTGGGTGCAGCGGCGGGCCGTAGGGTGCAGCGGGGGGCCGGCAGGTGAAGCGGCGGGCCGCTGGGTGCAGTGGCGGGCCGTAGGGTGCAGCGGCGGGCCGGCAGGCGCAGCGGCGGGGCCGTCAGGTGAGGCGGCGGGCCGTAGGGTGCAGCGGCGGGCTGTAGGGTGCAGCGGCGGGCCGTCAGGTTCAGCGGCGGGCCGGCAGGGCCGCGTCAGAGCCGGCGGCGGGGCCGCGTCAGTGGAGGCAGCGGGGCCGCGTCAAGCAGGCGGCGGGGCCGCGACGAAGCGGGCGGCAGGGCCGCGTCAGAGCCGGCGGCGGGGCCGCGTCAGTGGAGGGGGCGGGGCCGCGTCAGTGGAGGCGGCGGGGCCGCGTCAGTGGAGGCGGCGGGGCCGCGTCAAGCAGGCGGCGGGGCCGCGATCAGGAGGGGCAGCGGGGCCGCGAGGGAAATGGCGACCCGAGGGGTCGCTAAAAAAAATGCGCGCCTCGGGGCGCGCTTCGGTGGGCCCTAAAAAAAAACGGTCCTTTGGAAGGACCCGCTCTATACCATGTGAAAACAAGTGAACAGGAATGTGTGAACTATGAATGAAGGCAGTACAAATATGAAACCCTAACTGGGTTGTACCCCCTATGGGATACCCCACTACAGCCTACACAATAGTATAAGCTATAGATATGTTCTGACAGGGTAGTGTAAGATTTTTTCTCGACATTCCTTAGCGCGCCCTGCAACATCGCGTACAGCAGCAGCCGTTGTTCGCCCGTTACCGCTAACGGGGCTTCGCCGACTTCGTGCGCACTGTTTCACCAAACCTCGCACTGCTGGCCCGGCCGTGTCGGCCTACGCTTCGGGACTAGCCCGAACCTCACTGCCAGCATAGCACTAGCTAGCTCGCACGCACCGCGTTACTGTTTGCATGTTACGCGTATAAATGTTCGCTCATACCTTCGCTCACATTTGGTACTCGTTTAGTGCTATCTTCTTCGCTACCTAGATTCATTGTACCCGTAACAGTCACACAATGCGTCGCCGTCAGTGTACCGGATGCCAGTCTAGCGAGCATGAGGGTGTAATCAGCCCAGCCGAGTGGATCGCGGATTTCAAGGAAGGAAGCAATGGGCTGCACAGTTCACTGTCTTCTGCCAATTCGAGGGGCTTGGCGGGAAACCTAAGCCGCGTTGCGAGTTGAACAAATGCGGTCAGGGATAGTTTTCCGTTTTTAAGGTCCGGGCTCCCCGCATAAACATACGCAATAATCTGCATCCATGAAAAGACTACTCATTTAAATCCGCGGACTTTTAATATCTATCCTGAGTCTCGGTGTGATTTCAAAACCACACACTCGTTGTGCTGAAAGAACCCCACACTCATAGTTGGTAGTGGTAACTGGTACCAACTATAAGTGAACCACCCATAGAAATTCAGAAATAGATCAGCAAAGAGCCAGTTACGGGTTCCGCTGAGCACTGGTCTCCAGTTGTGGATCTTTCAGATACGAGGCAGTTCCATCCCGGCACGGATACTTTCAGGGACCTCTTCAGCGTCCCGATGTCTTTCAACACATCCGTTACGTTTCCGGAAATTCTCGACGTTGCCCCCCTTAAAAATACGGGTCTCAGACAGAAACATTCGGAATGTTGACGAAATTCCTGAAGCGCACCCAGTGTGTCCTGGATGCGGTGCACCGGGTCAGCAGCACCACACCGAACAGGCCAGTGATACGTCACCATCATTGTTTCCTACCGCAGGGGAGGGGCACATTCATGAAGCTCCCTCCTCCCCACCCCACTAGTAAAGTGAATTTCATTTTCGTTCTTTCTTTCAAATTCCCGTCACTACGGTTAGTGGAAATAAGCCAAAACAGCCACCAATCCAACGACCTAGACATGCTCCCGTCAGCTGGCAAGTTTCCCAACAGCGCTGCATTCCGGGACGCGTTGCTTTGGATCGCTTCGTCGCGTCGCGCGAAGGGAGTCCGGCATTGGTGCGCCGTCCTCGCCTCGCACGCGCTGTTCCGCGGGGAGCTGCACAGACGCAACGTCCCCGTGCTGCTTATCGTTCTTGCGCTGGTTGTGGTGCTGGCGATCGTGCAGTGGCGCGCGCTACTACTACACCCCACAGTCATCTCCGGCATGTCCGCGTCCTCGCCTTCCCGGTGGGTGCGGGGAAGCGAGTACTCTACAAAATGTGGGGCCACAACAACCATGCACGAAACCCGCTTTGCCCCACCCATGCCCAGCGGCGATTGCCGAAGCAATGTACAAACACTCAAAATACAGTGGTAGGCAAGGATGTTTAATGCTCAAACATTGCACTCACATTGCATACCTGTCTTCGCCCTTGCACATTGTATCCAACCCCTTCCACATTGTGTCCCCGTAGCCCCTAGCTGTTCGCATACAACCCGCCCCGCACGTGCCAAATTGGGCTGGTACAGCGAATTATTTCGGTTGTGTTGGGTGTACAGTGGTGTCATGAATCTGAGTCTGAATTCGCATCGACGGAAATTTAGTGGCGTTATAACAGGACTGACTACATCGACATTGGATAAGGTGTTGCTGACGCGTCAGAAACCAGCGTCACTTTTGAAGGTGCGCTGTCAAAATCAGATGTGACAGCGCTGATGTGGTTTGGATTAGTGTGGCGAACAGAAACCAAGACATTATAGGGTTTCCATCTCGCTAGTTTCGTCAAGGTACTTGTGAACCCACAGTAGCGAAAACTTCAGACCTCACCAGGTTTGAATAATCACTCCATTTCGTCCAATTTTCGCCCAAGCGAAAACGAGGGCTTTTGGCGTGTGATGCTCCTCTCCGGCTCCTTCAAACTTCATCCACAGCTCAACACCCGTTCATTTTCACATCTCACGGTTTCTGTCTACCGTTTCATACACTCGATCAGCTTCTGCGATGCTCTTCCTGCTCCTACCTCTCCTTCACTGCGTCATAAACACGATTCAAATATGTGTGTCGATTTCTGTTCTTACATCCTCCCTCTTGCAGATACGGAAAGTCTGCTGTGGCGGACGGTTTCTGCTGCGAAATTTTACCGGCTGCACGAAGCTCGAGATTAGGATACCTTCTCACGCCTTCCTCCCCACTGGTAGGTTCATGATCAACTCAGGTGAGTTTCGTTTTCAGCCAAATACGCATTGTCTACTGCGCGACCTTGTTTGTACATATTTTCTTTTGCAGAATACCAGCGCGCTTGACAGCGCTCTACATCAGCGACTTCCGAGATTATCGCCAAGCGAAATTTATTGCTAAGTTGATATTCTCCTGAAATTTTATCACCGAGCTTATCACGGTTCCTAGAGGAGTTTCATGGGATGCTCTTCCGAGCATGTCAATGGCATCCATGATCGATAGGTTCATGTGTGGTTTTATGGTTTGGCCATGCATGTCCTCTCTCTGTGTTCTAACTCTGGTGGTGTTCTGCAGAGCCCTCGTTGCGCCCGGAATAAGCTGTAACCGGTAGTTAATGCATTTTATGTACCTGTGTGTGAATCATCATGAACGCGGGTATATAAATAGGATGTTAGGTCTTGTAGCTATTGATAAGGCGGATCGGGTATTGTGATCATTGCTGTAAGGTTGAGTTGAATTGTAACTTTGGGATTACTAATTTCCAGCAGAGAATTCATTTCATTAGTGGCAAGAAGTTGCTATTTGCCTAAAACCTAGTGTGTGAACAGCGTTTTGTATTCTGCATTTTCCAATTGTTTGTATTAGATCATACTGAGATCCGTGTACTGTGATGATTGATCCGTTAAAAAGTTCCCTTATATGACGATTTTCCAGTTGCTTTAGTGAGGATGAGCAATGTTGAGTGTATGCTGGTGCACTCCTTGCCGAGCCTACTCAAGATTGCTTAGGCAAACGTTTCAATGATTCCTCTAACAAACCTGCACTGTTGAGCATTCATCATGATAAACCACGAGCATTGATGGCAGGGGAAAACCTCAAACAATCCCCGAAGAATAATTTTGCATTCTTTTTCCTTCCCAGATTTCGCCTATAGGCGCATGGTGCCCGGGGAGCACACATGGGGTTTGTTCGGTGCGCGGTCGGCGTAAACTTTATCATCATTCCTCCCACGATCATCCAACCCTTCATGCCGGGCCGGCGTGTCGTGAGAGTGGACGGTGGGGCATGATTGTTGGCACTGGTGGAACAACCACAGAACACTCACGTTGTTTTTCATTTCGCATCGACTTTCCCTTAGTAACTCCCTGTTACAAGATGGGAATACCCTCCCCCTCTCCCCACCCCCCCCCACCCCACAACCTCCTTTCACCTCCCCTCTGTCCCCACCTTCCCCTTCTCCTCACCACCAACTATCATTATGATCCCTCCTTTTGTTCGCCATTTTCCCTACCCCTTTCCCTTCTCCTCCTTCTCCCATTCCCTAACATGCCGTTTCCTCCATCTCCCGTCGTTATCTTCACCTCCAATTCCTCCCCCTTCCGTTCCCCCGACCCCATGGCCGCAGCCCCACGTCCGCGGAGCTGTACGAGGCACGGGCGCAGCTCTTCGCGCTCGATTCGCCCCTCCCCCCGACCACCATCACCATGCGCGCATCGCTCCCCTCCCTGCCCCACCTGGAGGACTGTGCCGCGCGCACTGCCTTCCGCCTCGCCTCCGAGCGCACAGGGGGGAGAGGGACGGGCGCAGAAGGGGGAAATGGGGAGGAAGAGGGGGAGGGTGAAGCACCGGAGTGGGCGCGGGCGACTGCGGCGTGTGGCAACGTGCCGCAGCCCCCTTGGGTGAGCCGCTGGCTGGACTTCCCCTAAAGTGTTGCGCTTGCTGTGAGATGAGACACACTGAGGCGCATTAGGGCGCATTGGGGCAGAATGAGGGCAGACTGGAAGAGCATTTCTTAGGCGATCAAGTCATGGTAGGGGGTCCAGTGCAGCTCGCTTCTGACGTGGGATCAGCCCTTGCCCATCTCACCTCATCTCTCCTCTCTAACCATACCTCGAGTCCCTTCGTGTTGCTGCAATTGCAGCATCAATCCTCATATTCTTTCCCCATTTACCCCTCCTTCCTCCCCACTTGTAAGTTAATTCCATCGGCCGGCCACTCCGTAATGCCCCTTTCCCACCGATTTAATGCCTCCACTTCACTCCCAATTTCTCCTGTTTCGTCTCCTCCTGCCTGCGTGCACGGCAGGTGCGAGGGGGGAACGCAGCGAATCTGGGGAGCATACGGGAGGTGCAGAGGGACCTGTGGGCGCACCAGTTCCCCGCTGGGCCATGTCATGGCCGCCGCCTGCTGCTCGTGCACTGGCCGCACCTCCCCCTGTCCCCCGCAAATGAAGGGAATGGGCGAGGCGGTGAGAGCGGTGTTGGGAGGAGTGCAGTGAGTGCGAAGGTGGTGGCAGAGCAGCTGGCGGCGATGGCAGGGGCGCTGAGTGCGGCGGTGAGCAGCCAGCGCGTGCTGGTGCCCATGCCAGGCTCCTTCCTCCCCGCCAACCACCCCCACTGCCACGGTCAGTCCACCCACACCATGCCACGCCCACCACGCCACACCACGCCACAGACAGGTGGGCAAGGCACTTCCAAGCCATACCACACCATCCCACTCCATGCCACTCCATGCCACACCATGCCACACCATGCCACGCCATGCCACATTATGCCACGACTTGAGACTTGAACAGTAGGGTAGAATTCTCTTCCCAGTACATGATCAGACTGCTTGCACAGTCCCAACCCCCACCATGCACACTTCTTACGTACCACTCACGTGCCTCAGCACCTTTCACACCCTCTCATTCCCCTCCATCTCCTGCATCATTCCGCTCAAGCCTTCCGCCCAACGCCCACTCTCGATGCCCTCTCTCCCCACGCCCGGCCCCCCATGCCCTGTCCCCTTCCACAGCGGTGAACGAGTCAGGGTCGTTGCACTGCTACTTCTTCCGCTCCGTGTCGGCTGCATGCGAGGCAGCAGCCATGCAGCGATACCGCGCTGCCGGCTCGCCCCCCTGCCGCAACCTCTCACAGCTCGCCCATGCCATTGCCTCCAACAACTCCCTCGTCTGTGCCCACACCACTCTCCACCCCTCCTCTCGGCCACACTCCGCTGCTGCGGGGTACGCCCATACATCCACCCTTCGGTTGCACATTCCATGGCCCTGTGCATAGCAATTGACCCCAGGCATGCTATCATCTTGTGTGTGGAGGCAAGTGTGGTGCTCGCCTCGCCCACCATTGCTGCACTGCAATTCTCTTGTTGGTTCCTCACTACCTGTTGAGGCTCCTCATAAGTCCTCATGCTGCCATGCTTCCCGGCAGGGCATGGGGCGATGCATACAAGCAGCGGCCTTACCTGGTGGAGGAGAGGGGCGTCATGGTCAACGCCACAGAGGAGCACTTGCAGGTGACCCATGCCATGCCATGCCCTGCTTTGCCATGCCATGCCATGCCCTGCTCTGCCATGCCATGCCATGCCCTGCTCTGCCATGCCATTCCATGCTGTGCCATGCTGTGCCATGTCATGCCATGCCATGCCATGCCATGCCATGCCATGCCATGCCATGCCATGCCATGCCCTGCCCTGCACTGCCATGCCATGCCATGCTGTGCCATACCATGCCATGCCATTCCGTGCCATGCCATACCTTGCCATGCTGTGCCATGCCATGCCATGCCATGTCATGCCATGCCATGCCATGCCATGCCATGCTGTGTCGTGCCATGCCATGCTGTGCCATGCCATACCACACGATGTCATACCATACTATACCATGCCATGCAAAGCCATGCCATGCCATGCCGTTCCATGCCATTCCATGCCATGCTATGCCATACCATACCGTGGCATGCCATGCTGTTCCATGCTGTATCATGCCATTCCATACTGTTCCATGCCATGCTACGCCATGCTCTGCCACGCCTTGCCATGCCATGCAGCATCGTTCACAAATCACGTGCGAAGCTGTGCAAATTGGCTGAACCACATAGATGCGTGTGGCACATCGCTAGCGCAAGCCATTTATGCACCTCCGTGCTGCCCCAATCCATGACTTCTTACGACAGCTGTCAGCTTGCCAGGGCTCCTTCCCATCGGGCAGAGCAATACTCCTCTCCTTCCTACTGCATGTACCTTCCTATGCATCTCGCATTCCTCTCCCTCCATTCTCAACCCCTACTCTCCCCCTCACCCTCTCCCCTCTTCCCCTTCCCCTTCCCCTTCCCACCCCTATCCCTCCCCAATCCCTCAGGCCTACTGGTGGCAGGCCCAAGCCCTGCGCTTCTTGCTTCGCTGGCCTTCGACGCACCTCTGCCACGCCACCAACCGCATGCGCCACTCCGCGTACGGCAACCACACGGCAGCACTCTCAGCAGCGCAAGTGGCGGAGCAGCGAGCCATCCTTGCGGCCCTGTGGTCGCCATTCTCCGACGCACACCAGCACCTGGGCATCGACACACGCTCCGAGGCCAGGCTGCTCACTGCTCTTGACTTCTCCAAACCCCACAACTTGGAGACGGACGTGTGGCCTGCTCTGGGATTCGTTGGGTGCGGTGAGGCTAATTGCATGGGCCCAGGTGGGGGTGATGTGAGAGGAGAGAGTGAGGGGAGTGAGGAGAGAGAGGGAAAGAGGGGAGGTGGAGGGGGAGGGATGAATTGTGAAGGCAATGCAGGAGAATCTGCTGATGATGAAGAAGATGTTGGCGAGGAGAAGCCGTTGGCGCTGGTGACGTACGAGAGGGTGGGCAGGGAGGTGGGTATTCCACGGCCGGTGGTGAGCATGCATGTGGAGCAGCATCCAACTGTCGGGGCGCAAGCGCTGCTGCCGCTGCTCCCGCTGGCCTACCGTCTGCACCGCCTGGACCCCACCCTCCAACTCGCCTGGCTCTCCGCAGAGCACCCGGTAAGACGGCTCTCCGCTGACCGCTGACCGCCTGTTAAGTGCGGTGTGCTGGGCTACAAAGAAGACTTGTGTGCCTCAATCTCGCCTGGCTATCCACACAGCACACAGTAAGCGTGGCGCTGCACCCACACGCTAGTCTGTGCAGATGGAGGGGAATGGACCACGGAAGTGGAGGGCGGGGTTGGTGTGTGTGTGTAGGCATGGTGGGTGGGCGAGTGGTCGCACCTGTGTGAGTATGCGTGCATGCATCTGTGTGTATAAGTGTGCGCGTCCCTTTTCTTGCACTCATGCGCATGTGAACATGATAATACCTTCCCGCCTTTATACCAATTTTTTTGTTTCCTTGTCGTACCTTCTACCATTCCCAGTGCCCCGCCATCTTTCATCCTCTTCTGCACCCTTTGTTCACCAATACTATGCCATGCCTTACAGTGCTCGTTGCACCTCCATTTCTGTTCCTTCTAGCTGTGTAAAGTGACTCAATGCCTCGCACTGCACCACACGCTATTTAACTGGCACACCATGGCAGGGAACTTTGTCGGGTCAGCACTTGAGCAATTTCACCCAGCATCTGTTATTACCCTGGTCCTTTCTCCATCCCACAGACTCGGCCCTACCAGAGCATGATGCAACTGCAGCTATCTTTTCCTCTCTGCTCATTGCATCAGAGTGTGATTACCTTGCCGGTTCACGTAATTCCACATGGAACCGTGTTGTTCATGCACTCAGGTCAACTAATGGCCGCTTGTACTCTGGATTTGCCTCGTGAATACGGGTACTATACTGAGCTGTTTCAGCTGTATTGCCGGCATGAAACACCTTGTTCTTGTACTTTAAGTGTCATGCATGAAATGGGGTCGCATGATACCGTCAGCCCCCGGATAGAAGCGCCCCTGGGGGTATTAAAAAAACACTGTTTTTTAGGGGGTGCGCTCATATATCTGAGGATTTTTATAGGCGCCGGGGCTTATATAATGATATATATGAAATCTATTTTTTCTTACACTAAAGTGTTCATCTCGTCCTTGCGATTTGAATCGAATCGATATTGTAGAGGGCATTGAATGTGAATTTCGCGTGAAATGGCAGTGGCTTATTCCCTGCCAACACACACAGTCAGAATGAGTCAGATTGACCCCATGATAGCTCATTCTAACTGGACGCGAAGGCATTGAGTCTCGCGAGGGGGAAGGTCTCAAAGTAGCTTAGCGGAATGGATGGATTAGGGTTGTGAAAGCATACAAGTAGGATACCTAACAAAGTGTTGTACTCCCTAAGGAGCAACTCACTACAGCCTATCACAAATATAACATTTGACAGAAGGGTTTGGAAATTCTGAATGTGGGGATGCAATACTGTGTTTCGTTTCAGTGTTTTCAGTAAAGATATAGAAACTATTACATAGGGTGGCGCTTATAATCCGTAAGCCTTCAGGGGTGCGCTTATAATCGAGGACCGCACATAAGCGCCCTCATCCTTTTAAAAGCGCCGGCGCTTATCCGAGGCCTGTGCTTCTATCCGGGGGCTTACAGTACCGTGATTCCCTGCATAGTACAGCCTATGGTTTATACCGAATGGTTGGAGTCATACGGTATTTTCCTGTTTAGGAGAGGGCCCTGTCAACTTATGCATACGCTTTTGTATATGTATACCGCCGGATATACACAGGGCTGACGTTTAACTTTAAGGCTCCCTGATTCCGGTAAAATATGTTAAAATACTAGCGTGAGTTTGGCTTAGAAGCCATAGTTTAGGAGCCTTAGTAGCTTAGGTTTTAGGGTGTAAGGTGAAAGTCGAGAAAGCTGAGAAGGAGAATGGTGTCACTAGCAAGAGTTGGGATACAAGTACAACACCCTAATTGGGTTGTACTCATTACAGAGTACCCCACTGCAGGCTAGACAGCAAATACATTCTGACAAATATACACACACACATATATATATATATATATATATATATCTGTATAATGAGCGTGCATTGTTCAAGAGAGTGCTACCCTGATGGCTCAGGATTCAACAACTAGTCGCTCTGATTTGTCAGGGTGGACAGCCTGAATTCAGGGTCTGGGTTCAAATCTCACTTGGTTTATTACTGCAATGTATAGCCTGTAAAACACTTTCTCCTACATTGTCTACTCTAGTGCACAGGCCTATCGATGTGGAACACTTCCTCCACATCCTCGTCGTCCAAAAGGATCCTCCACATCCTCGTCGTCCAAAAGGAAGAGGTTGTCCTCCTCCTCCTCCTCCTCCTCCCCCACAAGCTCCTGATCGTTGCCCATATCTTGTTCCACATCCTCCTCCTCCTCCTCCTCCTCCTCCTCCTCCTCCTCCTCCTCCTCCTCCTCCTCCTCCTCCTCTCCCACAAGCTCCTGATCGTTGCCCAGGTCCTGTTCCACATCCTCCTCCTCCTCCTCCTCCTCCTCCTCCTCCTCCTCCTCCTCCTCCTCCTCCTCCTCCTCCTCCCCCCCCTCCTCCTCCTCCTCCTCCTCCTCCTCCTCCTCCTCTTCCTCCTCCTCCTCCTCCTCCTCCTCCTCCTCCTCCTCCTCCTCCTCCTCCTCCTCCTCCTCCTCCTCCTCCTCCCCGTCATTTTGACCGGCAGCTCTTGCTTTGACTCCACCCTCCTTTGCTTTCACCTTCCTTTCGAACTCAGCCCCAGCAAGCTTTAGGCTCTTTGCAGGGCGTCCGGCCACTCGATGTCGTAATTCAGAAGCGAAATCTGCATCTGCTCCCCAGCCGCGCGTTGCAGAGAGCGCCGCGCACCCAAGACTTGATCACATTTTGCCTGGAGAATCCTCTCTCGCACTCCACAGTTGACAGGGGGAGCACCGCAATCACTTGCCATAGGAGGACAAGGTTGGGCCACCTCCTGCCAGGTACATTCACGGAGACGGGAGGGAAACAGAGTTACGATATGCGCAAAATACATTCGACTCCCGCTTGGCATCCCATGCTGTCACACTACACTGACATTCCTCTTCGAGTCTGCGCTCCCAAGAATATTGGCCAGTCCCTGCGTGAAGCTTTCCAGCTCGTGGTGCGCCTCTTTGATCGCACAAAATGTGGGAAGCCCCCTCTCTGCGGCCTTGAAATTAAATCCCAACAGCTTGTGGCGGAAGTGTTTGCTACATCCCAGAAGCCACTCACGCCATCTTCTCTCATTGAGCCTTGTTCTTCGGCCACTTTCCGGCCCGAAACAACTTCGTCGGCCCTAGCTTCCCCAGGTAATCAAACCGCTCGTTGAGATTGTCAACGCAATCGCGGGCGAAACTGCAGCAAAGCTTCACGCACTCCTCGTATCCGCTCCCCACCTTGTGCCCCGAGAGCTTCCTTTCGTGCATGGTGTACAGATGGTTGATTGGGCGTCCCTCCCCGTCCACGCCTCTCACACGGACCTTCTTGCCACCACCATGCCCATGCAGCTTCAGAAAGCCGGCCAGCCAGCACTTGCCCTCGCCACCAAACTGCTTGTCGATATGCAAATACCGCTTCGTCAGATCCGCCGTGGTGGCCTCGATGATCTTGGCAATGTCCGTCACATCAATATGCAATGGCACAGTCATACAAGACATGTCAGGTTACATTCAACACAAAAGAAAATGTAGACACTAGCAGAGGCGTATTCATGGAAGATTTAACAAACTCACATCCCGCTTCTGGAAACAGCGGTTGAGGTTGTTCATGTCGGCGAGGAAGAATAGGCAGAATTGGAAATTGTAGCACGTGACAATCTCGTACACCTTGTGACTCCTCTTCCAGAGAAGAACGATACACGCACTGAACACCTTGCACAGCCGGCGCACCGCATCTCCGCGTGATAGCCAGCAAACCGTGTGGATCCCATAGACTTCGAGGTTAGTGTTGTAGATCATACGCTGCAGGATTGAAGCGTTGGCTCCAGACTGATGAATCTCCAAGTTTTGCCGCCACGATGCGCACCACCTTGCCCACCATGCCCAGGTCGAGGTTGGACGTCGCCGCTGTTATAGTCACAGTAGGCTCCAATGTGCCTAAAACGAAAGATAGAGTATACACTCGGATTTCTGCATAGCGACTTCAAACGTTCATAGCGTTCTGGTCACAGCTTCAAATGACATTATTCAACTTGGATATGGAGCGTCTTATTGTCGCCTACAATAGGCAATTTAGATCGCACGATTTCACCAAGTATTGACGACACAGCGTTGGTTTGAACGAACGGCACTATGGCAGCCACTATAGTCTTAGAACACAAGATAGGAAGAGTTAGGGAGAGTTACGAGTTGGGAATGACTCCCAGCTTCTACAAACCCCAAGAGCCGAGGTAAAGTGATGTGGAACAGTGTCACACTGTCCAAAACCACGAAGGTTCTCGAAACTACCCTTCACTAGGGCCTACACTAAGTGAAATGTTACACTACACAAAGTAATGTAACTATTTTCAGTTTCTTGAGGTGTACCCTTTTGGCGAGCTTCGCGATCACTTGAATGTTGACACCAGGGGCTCGGGTTCTTCATCACAAACTCATCCTTGAGTTCTTGATGGGTCTGCTGCACACACCTGCGACACGCCAAACGTTCGACAAGCAACAAAATAGAAATCGCGCACGACAAAATAGAAACCACGCGGGACACACAAAACGACGACGTTACACGCGACTAGCGATAATTCGCTATTGACTTGACACACACACTCGACATCATGACCCATCATTCACACACTATTATAAGCATGAAATATATAGTTATTTCATGCACTCATTTCATTCCATGCACACACGCATGCACGCAGACGGACAACAAGCCGAGTGCAAACCGTAGGGTTGCACCAACACCCGCGTCCTTAACAGCCAATGCCTCTCTGCAAGACTCATCGTGAAAATTTGTTGATTAGAGAAGAATCGAGCAAAATGACCTGGATCATTTACTGGCAGTAAACCCTACTGGTGCACGATGCAGTGACAGGAAAAGAGATGCACGACGTGCTCCCGAATCCGCGCCACCAATCCGTTGTCCTTCCCCGTCATGACCGAAGCTTCGTCCGTACTG